CCTTCTCCTCCGTTCTCTTCTCAGGATTTTGGGCACGCACACACATGTGCCCGGCGTGAGTTTTAAGCCACTGGGTCCGGGACGCAAACCGTGGTCGACTACATGGGAGTCCAGGGACATAACCATTACACTAACTGCTGGTCCCTGAAAAGTTAATCATTATTGTCAGCTAGATGTTTTGCTCGACTCCTAAGATGTTAAGCTCTTTGTTTAAAACAAATAAATTGTTGAGTTTGTGTATATATGTGTTCGAGTCCCTGTTCGAGTCCCAGACCCGGCGGCTTAAACTCACACTGGGAGTGTGTGTGCATGCGTGCCCAAGATCATGAGAGGAGAATGGAGGAGAAGGGATCATGGCGTGACCATCCCCACTGGGGGATAATTTCTCGTTTTCTGTCTCTCTGTCTCTTTCTGTCTTTCTGGCGAGCACACGCACCCTATAGCAAAACTTCTCCCCCCCAAAAAAAAAAATCAAAAAAAGAAAATATGGAAAGAAATGCAAGAATTTTAATAGTGCTTATCCTTGATGGTTTAGTAATTTAAATTTTATCATAATTTCTATAATACAATTAGTTATGTTACGCAATAAAGCTCTATTTCAATAAACTTATCTGATAAATTTTAATTTCCTAGTTTATCAACTCCATTATCTTTCTTCTGTGTTGCTGAAAGAGAAAATTCTTTGCTTGAAAAGAGAATGCTATGTTTTTCAGGCTGTTTAGGAGGGAGATGAGGGTGAGGTAGAGCTAATGAGGACAACTTGGGACTTACACTTTATTTAAGAAGCGAGATAAAAGATGAAAATATTCATGCGATTTATCAAATTTTCAAAATATTAGAGGAACTTTCATTCTATTCATTCAAGGTGTATTTGACAAAATACTTAGGAAGATAGATCTAGCTATCTATTTTGAAAACTTAAGGAAACCCAAAGAGTAGATCAAATATTAACTATCTGCAGAAAAAAAATAGTTTTCTTTTTTTTTTTTTTTTTTTTTGTTTCTTTGACAGATTTTTTTTTTTAGTATCATTGACAGTAAAAGGTATTACACTTGAAAATAGTTCCAGGCACGCAGCAGGATTAAAAAGAAAAAACGTAATTTTCATTAGCCAAGAGACTCAGCTTCCAGCATCGCATCAAAGAGTTTAGTGTCCTTAGTAGCTACTACTAGTTGGAAGAAAAACCGAAAATCTCATGCAGAGGGCCTTTGAAAAATTGTCCAAGTATAAACTGTTTTATGTTTTTATTATTGGAATTTGGATGGAGTTGAAATAAATAATTATGATGGTAGCTTTTCATGTTTTTTTTACTCTCTGCATGAGAGAATAAGCTCTTACATGAAAAGTTAATAATAATCGTCAGCTAAATGTTTTGCCCAACTTCTAAGATGTTAAAATCTTTGTTTAAAACAAATAAATTATGTGAGTTTGTATATATATGTGTTGAAATAAGTTTACAGTTAGTTTCAAAAAGCCTGATTTATTTAACAAAAACTGATTTTCATTAGTAATTTTTATTTCCTTTTATGACCTGGGGCTTATTTTATTTATAGGCGGGTGGCTGAATTGTTTATGTTTGATTTTGAAATCAGTGGAATCCATCTAGACAAAGAAAAGGTAAATCTTTCCTCTGTTCTTTAGCTTCTGTTGTTTTACTGATACTTAGTTGGTATCTTTGTTGCTGTAGCCTTTGTATCTTGCTTGAAATTGCATATTATACAAATGCTTAAGTGATTTATCTGTTACGAAGTTGTTGTGTGGCTTGTATTTGAATGTATACTTTCTGGAAATTTCCTACCATACAGCAAAAATTTCTAAATAAATGACTTGAGACTGTTGGTGCGATTGAGATGTCATAGAATTAGGCGATGGAGAGTATCAGGACAGATCGGCAGGTGAAGAGGAAAGCTGACGTCATTGGAGATCAGAAGTACAGGGGTATTGTTAAGACCTTGCATGAGTGTATTTTTTTTTTTCTTGGACATGTCTTTGACAGAGCCACACACTTTTATTCTGGAAACAACAGTGTAGGTTATACAGTGTTCGTACTGGGATGAGGAGGGCCTTGTATATTGTGCAGTTTTTCAGATGTAGAAACAGGACAAAACAATTTCTTCAGGTTCTCATTCCCAGGACTTCGGCCACTGCTCCTTTTAGCACTTGATGTCCTAAGACACCAAGTGCCTCATCGTAATATTATGCTCAGGGCTGGAAGAACTGGACTGAGTTGATAACACTGATTAAGACCTTGCATGAGTGTATTTTTTTTTTTTTTTCTTGGACATGTCTTTGACAGAGCCACACACTTTTATTCTGGAAACAACAGTGTAGGTTATACAGTGTTCGTACTGGGATGAGGAGGGCCTTGTATATTGTGCAGTTTTTCAGATGTAGAAACAGGACAAAACAATTTCTTCAGGTTCTCATTCCCAGGACTTCGGCCACTGCTCCTTTTAGCACTTGATGTCCTAAGACACCAAGTGCCTCATCGTAATATTATGCTCAGGGCTGGAAGAACTGGACTGAGTTGATAACACTGAAAGGTTGGCCTACCCCAGCCTGGCTCTTCCACTAGCCTGCAGTCTAGACTGTTTATGGTTATGCTTTTTGCCTTAAGATAAATACACGTTTCTCCCAATAAATATAGCATGATTAAAGCCATTTACCTATAAACAGATCAGTTTGTCAGAGTATCTTGGAAAGTAGATGTCAGATATGGATGTTGGGAATGTATGTCATATGCATTAGATTTTGTCATTTTTTAAAAATAATTATTTTTATTTAACTTTATTTATTTATTTAAATTTGACCAGAGAGAGACAGAGTGAGTGAGTGAGTGAGTGAGAGACAGAGAGAGTGGGAAAGTGAGAAAGCAAGCTGCCAGATCCAGGATTTGAACTGCAGTTGGCCATGTGGGAGTCCAGCGCCCTTAACCACCATGCCACCAGCTGGCCCTGATTTTGTCATTTTTTATTGATGCTTGATGTGAACAGTGTTGTGGGCTACTTATATGTCTGCCATATTTATGTGGTTTAAGGACTCAGCATGTGACTTTTTTCTTTTCTTTTTTTGGAGAGGTTTTCGCTATAGGGTGCATGCGCTCGCCAGACAGACAGAGACAGAGAGACAGCAAGCGAGAAATCACCCCCCAGAGGGGATGGCCACGCTGCAATCCATTCTCCTCTCAGGATCTTGGGCACGCACGCACACGTGCCTGGCATGAGTTTAAGCCACCGGGTCTGGGACTCGAACCGCGGTCGACTATGTAGGAGTCCAGCGACATAGCCATTATGCTAACTGCTGATCCCAGCATGTGACTTTTGATCTGTCTCTGAGTATGAATATACTAGACATGCCTTCCCAACATCCACAAGAGCCCATTTAGGGCTCTACTGTCAATTCATATCGTCTATTCTTTTTTTTTTTTTAGAGGTTTTTGCTATAGGGCACGTGTGCTCGCCAGACAGACAGAGAAAGACAGAGAGACAGCGAGAAATTACCCCCCAGGGGGGATGGCCACGCCGCAGTCCCATCTCCTCCATTCTCCTCTCGTGATCTTGGACATGCATGCACACGCGCCTGGCGTGAGTTTTAAGCCACCGGGTCCGGGACGCGAACCGCGGTCGACTACTTGGGAGTCCAGCGACATAGTCATTACGCTAACTGCTGGTCCCTGTCAATTCACATTGTCTAATGTTCACATATTTATCCCTCTCCAAAGTCTTTTTGAGTACTGCTCTGTATCAATCATACCACACTATTCTCTGAGTCACCCAAAATAAAATTTTGGAATCAGTTTGCAACTTTCTTCCCATTACTCTCAGATATTAGTGACCAAGTCCTTGGATTGTTCTTCAGATGTAAAATAAGTCACCTTTAAACTTATCTCTAAATACCTGGACTTTCCTAAAGGCTTTTGTCTTGCCAGTATTCTTCATAATTGCCATTGACTGGGCACTTGCTATTTTCTTTTTTTTTTTAAAGATTTTTGGTATAGGGTGCATGTACTTATCAGAGAGACAGAGAAAGAGAGACAGAAAGTGAGAAATCACCCTCCAGTGGGTTTGGCCACACCACAATCCCTTCTCCTTTTTTTTTTTTTTTGGAGAGGTTTTTGCTATATGGCGCGTGCACTCACCAGACAGACAGAGACAGAGAGACAGAGAGAAAGCCAGAAATCACCCCCCAGTGGGGATGGCCATGCCGCAATCCCTTCTCCTCCATTCTCCTCTTGGGATCTTGGGCACGCACACACACGCTCCCGGCGTGAATACGAAATTGTAGGCCCAGGCAGACCTGGTGAGCAGGCTTATGAGGCACTTCACTAGGATGGGCAGACACCAGTGGGATGAGTTGCTCTGGGGCACAGAGAGACCTGGGTGGGAGCTCTTTGTTACATATTAACTTTATAATAGGCGATGGGAAGTCTTTAAAAGGTTCTGGGAAAGAGAGTAACTAAATAAATACTTCCAAAAAAAGGAACCCGAGGGGCCAGTAGGTACATAGTGGTTATAGGGCTGGTTTCCAACATCGCGGACCATTTTTGAGTCCTGGACCAGGCGGCTTGAAAAATCACACCAAGCACATGTGTACGCCTGCCCAAAGTCCCAGGAGGAGAGTGGAGGAAAAGGGATTGCAGCATGGCCATCTCCTGGGGGAATGATTTTGTGCTTTCTGTCTCTCTGTCTCTTGCTGTCTCCCTGGGGAGCACGATACCCTATAGTAAAAATCTCTCATTAAAAAAAGGAAAAAACGTAAGTTATTGCTGTTATAATTTCATAGTTTATGGACTAATCCAGGACCAAGAGCATGGGTTTTTTTTAATTCTTTTTTTTTTTTGGAGAGGTTTTTGCTATAGGGCGTATGTGCTCACCAGACAGATAGAGAGAGACAGAGACAGGGAGACATCACCCCCCCCAGGGGGGATGGCCATGCTGTAATCCCTTCCCCTTTGTTCTCCTCTCAGGATCTTGGGCACGCACGCACACATGCCCAGCGTGAGTTTTAAGCCACCGGGTCCAGGACCCAAAATAAAATTTTGGAATCAGTTTGCAACTTTCTTCCCATTACTCTCAGATATTAGTGACCAAGTCCTTGGATTGTTCTTCAGATGTAAAATAAGTCACCTTTAAACTTATCTCTAAATACCTGGACTTTCCTAAAGGCTTTTGTCTTGCCAGTATTCTTCATAATTGCCATTGACTGGGCACTTGCTATTTTCTTTTTTTTTTTAAAGATTTTTGGTATAGGGTGCATGTACTTATCAGAGAGACAGAGAAAGAGAGACAGAAAGTGAGAAATCACCCTCCAGTGGGTTTGGCCACACCACAATCCCTTCTCCTTTTTTTTTTTTTTTGGAGAGGTTTTTGCTATATGGCGCGTGCACTCACCAGACAGACAGAGACAGAGAGACAGAGAGAAAGCCAGAAATCACCCCCCAGTGGGGATGGCCATGCCGCAATCCCTTCTCCTCCATTCTCCTCTTGGGATCTTGGGCACGCACACACACGCGCCCGGCGTGAATACGAAATTGTAAATGAATACAAAAGTCCACCTGGAGGATGGTTTAGAGCTTCACAGACAACATGGCCTGAAGATAAAGACTTCCTGGGGATTTGGCCCAGGCAGACCTGGTGAGCAGGCTTATGAGGCACTTCACTAGGATGGGCAGACACCAGTGGGATGAGTTGCTCTGGGGCACAGAGAGACCTGGGTGGGAGCTCTTTGTTACATATTAACTTTATAATAGGCGATGGGAAGTCTTTAAAAGGTTCTGGGAAAGAGAGTAACTAAATAAATACTTCCAAAAAAAGGAACCCGAGGGGCCAGTAGGTACATAGTGGTTATAGGGCTGGTTTCCAACATCGCGGACCATTTTTGAGTCCTGGACCAGGCGGCTTGAAAAATCACACCAAGCACATGTGTACGCCTGCCCAAAGTCCCAGGAGGAGAGTGGAGGAAAAGGGATTGCAGCATGGCCATCTCCTGGGGGAATGATTTTGTGCTTTCTGTCTCTCTGTCTCTTGCTGTCTCCCTGGGGAGCACGATACCCTATAGTAAAAATCTCTCATTAAAAAAAGGAAAAAACGTAAGTTATTGCTGTTATAATTTCATAGTTTATGGACTAATCCAGGACCAAGAGCATGGGTTTTTTTTAATTCTTTTTTTTTTTTGGAGAGGTTTTTGCTATAGGGCGTATGTGCTCACCAGACAGATAGAGAGAGACAGAGACAGGGAGACATCACCCCCCCCAGGGGGGATGGCCATGCTGTAATCCCTTCCCCTTTGTTCTCCTCTCAGGATCTTGGGCACGCACGCACACATGCCCAGCGTGAGTTTTAAGCCACCGGGTCCAGGACACAAACCGTGGTCGACTATGTAGGAGTCCAGCGACATAGCCATTACGCTAACTGCTGGTCCTTGGATTATGTTTTTTAAGGCATACTAGTTTTGGATCTGACAAAATAGTGAACAAACGATTGATGAATCATAACAATGCTAGCTAATATGAATGAAGTGGGGGCCATCAGATGGTTTGGTGGTTATATCGCTGAACCCCTACATGACTGACCATGGTTCAAGTCCCAGACCAGTGGCTTGAAAATCACACTGGGCACATATGTACACCTACCCAAGATCCTGGGAGAATAGAGGAGAAGGGGTTGTGGCATGGCCATTCCCCCTTTGAGGTGATTTCTCACTTTCCCTCTCACTGTCTTTGTCTCTCTCTCCTGCGTGCACTAGCATCCTAAGGCAAAAACCTCTCAGAAAAGACAAAAGAATGAAGTTTGATATTTCCAGAAGTAATCTTGCTAGTAAAGAATCTGTATGAATAGTTTTATGTAATCATTATGAAAGATATTTTTGAAACTTTGCTGAGAAATTGTGTGTTCAGTTTCCCAGCAAAGACATTGCTGCTTTTACTTAAGTTTTTATTCAGTATAGCTACCCTTGATAGCTAGCATCTTCCTATGGAACCCAACATTAAATATGCAAGTAAAAGGACCAGCAGATGGTGTAATGGTTATGTCGCTGGACTCCCCCTCATGGCTGACTGCAGTTCGAGTCCCGGACCTAGGGACTTAAAACTCATGCCAGGCACGTGTGTGTGTGTGTGTGTGTGTGTGTGTGTGTGCGTGCGCGCGCGCGCTCAAAATCCCAAGAGGAGAATGGAGAAGAAGGGATTGCCGAGGCCATCCCCCTTAGGGTGCTTTCTCACTTTTCATCTCTCTGCCCAGCATGTATGCCCTCTAGCAAAAATCTTTCCCCCAAAATAAAGAAGATGCAAGTAAAGTAAGCCTACTAAATTCCTCTCTTGCAACTTCCATGTCCATTCTCAAAGGTGCTCCACTAGAACAGAATACAAGGAACACACGTCACATTTTTAAAAATAAAGATCATGAACTCCTATCAACATAATATGCAAATCATAAAGGGCTATATTTCCAAGTTATTTCTTATTTAATTATTTTTTAAAAAGAGATTTATGCCATAGGGCACATGTGCTCACTGGAGAGGAGACAGTAAGAAAGAAAGTGAGAAATCACCCCCCAGAAGGGAAGCCACTACACAGTCCCTTCTCTTTCATTCTCCTCCTGGATTCTGGGAAGCACATGCGCACACGCCAAGCATGAATTTCAAGCCATCAGGTCCGAGACTTAAACTGCTGTTGACAAAGTGGGAGTCCAGTGCCTTAACTACCATGACGCCTGTTGACCTCTCTTACTTAATTTTAATTTAATTGTATTAATCTAAAAGTTAAACTTAATGGCAGTTAATATATTTTAGCAATCATTTAATAACAACAGTTTCATAGAATTTTTACAGAGTTCACAGTACTGCACATTTAATGATCTTGGAAAGATGAAGTGATATGCTTGGCAGATCTTCAGTCAGTCAGGAAATAAACTCAGTTTTCATTTTTCTAGGGATTTTACCAGGTGAGAAGATCTCTGAAATAATTAATTATGTCACTTTATTTATTTATTTTTTTTATCACAAAACCCTTGGGGGAAATTTTGGAGCTATAATATAATTTCCAGAGCTTATTCATCTTTTTTTTTTTGGTTATTTCACTTGTAACCATTAGGTGGCGATAAATGGCCATATCAGACAATATGAACAAAAAATATATGATTATAAAGATGTTGGAGCCTGTGAACACTTACCTCTTCTTATGAAGTTTGAATTTTCTATGTTGAATATTTTGGATTTATTAATATATGCATACTTTTTTTTAGTATTTTATCAAATATACTTCTACATTCTAATCCTTTTTTTTTTTTAAAAGAATTGTTTTATTTTATTTTATTTGTTATTGTTATTGTTATTCAGTTTGACCAGAGAGACAGGGAGAGTGAGAGAGCAAGCCACCAGGTCTGGGACTCGAACCATATTCACCCATGTGGGAGTCCAGCACTTTAAAACACCACTCCACCTGCCGGCCCCCATACATTTTAATCTTTTAAAAAATATTACTGCTACCTAATCATTTCTTAGGGGCCTACTTCAGGTTAGAATCTGTAATAGCTATTGACCACCTTCCCAGAAAAATTTGCATATGATTCATTCTGAAGCTTATTATAAGCCCAGTTCAGACTCCTGTCTTATTTTCAAGTAACAAATAACTGAAAATTCACCTCTTCTTCTCTAGTAGCACTAACTAATTAGATAGACTATAGTTTATATTTCATCCTAAAACACTGCGGCAGCTCCTTTGACAGTGCACCTTCCCAGGCGTTGCGTGCTGTGGAGGAGTGCCAGCACCACCCACAACTTTATCACTGTCCGCAGGCAGGAGGTCCCTGTGCCACATTTCAGGGACATAGTAGAAAGCAGAGGCCCAGCCCACACAGAGCGCTGCTGTCATCCTGCAGCAATTGAGTATGTGCAAGATCAGAACTTCTAAATTTCACTTTACCCTCTAGGTGTTCATACACTTTTGTGAAGTGTTGTATTAATTACTTCCCTTTCCCTCTGCTCTTTAGTCTAATCTGTCAGACTGAGTTTCTTTGTTAGTCTGCCCTTCAAGTACTTATTTTTTGAGTCTAAAAATACTTTATAGGTGTCATATTGAAGAGATCTAACCAACTATTATTCATTCTCTTGCTCACTTAATGAAATTTTTGGGGGGACCCATAAGAGATTCCGTACTTTTTTTTCTATAGGGTGCATGCACTTACTGGAGAGAGAGTGAGAAGGAAAGTAAATAATCACGCCCCAGGGAGGAAGACCATGCCGCAATCCCTTCTTCTCCATTTTCCTCTCGGGATTGTGGGCCTGTCCACACATATGACTGATGTGATTTTGAAGCCACGAGGACCAGGACTCGGACCATGGTCAACCATGTGGGAATACGGTACCTTAACTACTATGCCACCTGCTGGCCCAAGGTTCTGTGCTTTTTAATGTTGTTAATTTCAAAAATTAGTTATATAACCAAGACATTAAAGCAGCTCTAAAAGTTATGTAATCTAAAAACATAGAAAGATTGTGAAACCATAAAGGTAGTCTTTTTGTCAGAATATTATGTGTCAAAAATTGAATCAAGAGCCAGCAGGTAGCAAGATGGTTGAGGTGCTGAACTGCTCCGTGGCTGACTGCCTTTCAAGTCCTAGACCTGGCAACTTGCTTTCTCACTTTCCTCCTTTTTCTTTCTCTTTCCGTATATCTCTGGTCAAATTACAAAAAATAATAATAATAAAATTAAATTAAATTAAATACTTTAAAAATAGAACTAATATATTATTTGTAATATAGTCTATATTTAAAGTAAGTGATGTACTCAATGTGCTCATTTTATTTATATAATTAATAGATGGTATGTAATAATTACATAATTCAACTATTGGGTCGTCCAAAAAGTCACGATGCATTTTTACATAGAAAAACACAGAAAAATACGTCATGACTTTTCAGATGACTCAGTGTATATGTTTATCACTTTTAAAAAAATGAATTATTTAATTTTATTAAATATTATTATTATTTAATTCGATGAGAGAGAGAGGAAAAATGAGAAAGCAAGCCACCAGATAAAGGATTGTAACTATAGTTAGCAAGTGCCTTAACCACCATACTACCTGCCAGCCCTGTGTTTGCTACCTTTATAGGCTTTCTGTTAATTGTGAAGCATTAATTTGAAATGTCATTAAATAACTTCTGTTCCTTCTACATATAGCGTAAAAGAGCAGTGGACCTTAATGTTAAAATCTTGGATCTGAGTAGTACATTTCTCATGGGAACCAACTTTCCCAACAAGATTGAAAAACATCTCTTACCAGAACACATTCGCCATAATTTTATATCTGATGGGAATCATGTCATTATTGATGGTCTACATGCAGAAGCACCAAATGACTTGGTATGTATATTTCTTTCCTTTCAGAGTTGGGTTTTTTTTTTTTTTTTTTGGTATAGGGCGTGTGTGCTTGTCAGAGAGACAGAAAGTGAGAAATCACCCCCAAGGGGGATGGCCATGCTGCAATCCCTTCTCCTTCATTCTTCTCTCGGGATCTTGGGCACGCGCGCACGTGCACCTGGTGTGAGTTTAAGTCACCGGGTCTAGGAGTTGAACCATGGTCAACTACATGGGAGTCCAGCAACATAGCCATTATGCCAACTGCTGGTCCCTATTTCATTTTCTTTATTGTTTTTTTTTCTTTCTTTCTTTTTTTTTTTTTTTTGGAGAGGTTTTTGCTATAGGGTACATGTGCTCGCCAGAAAGACAGGGAGAGACAGAGAGACAGAAAGCAAGAAATCACCCCCAGGGAGGATGGCCATGCTGCAATCCCTTCTCGTCCATTCTCCTCTCGGGATCTTGGGCATGCACACACATGTGCCCGGCGTGAGTTTAAGCCGCCGGGTCCAGCACTCGAACCATAGTCGACTACATGGGAGTCCAGCAACATAGCCATTACGCTAACTGCTGGTCCCGTCATTTTCTTTATTGTTTATATTCTGTGTCACTACTGTTTTAAGTAGAAATTTTAATTTTAATATAATGTGATAAAATATTAATACTGTTATAAATCTTTTAGTATTACTAAGCCCTAAAAGTTTAACTTGTGAAATTATCACTTCAGAAGCGATTTGAGTAATAAAAATGGCTTGACTTACCATCTCTCAAATAACTTATTTTCAAAATATGATAAATAACAACAACAATTGACAGTCTACACAGTTGAGATTTTTTTTTTTTTCCTTAACAAGTTAAGTCTTTACCTGACTAAAAGGGTTTTATGTATAGAGGAGTTGATTGGGTAAAAGTCTTTTCCGTCATACCCTAGAATGATATCCTGGAGCTCTAGTCAGTGATGTTGTTGTACCCTGTAGTATTCCATGACTCCCAGAGCGCTATTTGCCTGGTGTAAACCTTTATTTTGAAAATGGTAGTCATCAGCAGATAGCATGGAGAGAGAAAGCTTATGTGATTGTTGTATGGGACTTCGTAATATGGTATTTATATCTTTTACTATTTGCTATTTAAACATAGGTGCGAGAAGCGGCTTACAAAATTTTTCTTTATCCCAATGCTGGTCAGTTAAAATGTTTGGAAGAATTGCTCAGCAACAGGGATCTTCTGGCGAAGTTAGTAGGCTATTCTACATTTTCCCACAGAGCTCTCCAAGGAACAATAGCCAACAGTCCAGGTAAGTCTGTTTATCCAAATTTTAAAAACAAAACAGGATTCTTATGATGCTGAGTTGCTGATTTTAAATAGTTTTATATATATATATATTTATATATGAAGTTTTATATATAAATATATATATATATATATATTAGTTTTTTTTGGTTGTAGGGCATGTACGCTTACTGGAAAGAGACAGAGACAGGGACAGAGAGAGAGAGAGAGAGAGGAAAAGAGAAAAATCACCCCCCAGATGGGATGGTCATGCTGCAGTTCCTTCCTCCATTCTCCCTCAGGATTTTAGACATACATGTGTGTGATTTTCAAGCTGCTGGGTCTGGCATTGAAACTACGAAGTCAGCCAAGTCAGCCGTGTCAGCTGCCTTAACCTCCACACCACTTGCTGGCCCATATTCTGTGTTTTAATCTATTCAGAGAACCATTTATTGTTTTCTAGAGAGTTAGATAGGGATGATATTTAAATAGAGCTAATAATGTGGGCTATATTCTGTCCAAGATAGTTTATTTCATGTGCATGTTGAGTGAAAATCATGCCTAAATTTTGACTTGATGCTAATTTAAATTATTTTCATTTTAATTCAACTAGTTTTTGTGCCTGCTCTGATCAAGTTGGTTAGAATTAGGGTGAAAGAATGAAAGATCAATGTTTCTGCTGAGGTCAAGGTTGAATGTAAGCTGAATCATATAAAAACTCATAGTCCTGTCATCCTCCTTTTCAGAAAGAGTAGTGCTTGGGCAGGTTTATGCTAGTGAGGTGGTGGATGGGGGAAATACCTTTCCTTGGGTTTGTGATAATCTTGCCTTGTGCTCTGTTGACTTCTTTATGATTTATAATGTCTAAGAGAAAATGTTATGCAATAATTCACATTTATGTAATAAGCTTTTTCAAAGCATTTATTAAATTACAGTTGTAATTGAGGCAGGGAGTTGGGAGTAGATTGGTTATGATGGCAGAGCTGTTTAGATTCAATATATTTCGGAAGTCAAAGTTGTAAGATATGGTAGTGGGCTCAGAGGGAGGAGGAGGCAGCATGAGGGGCACCCTTGGCTTCTGGTTGAGCCTCTGGATGGGTGCACCCCTCATGGACAGAGGGGACACTGGAAATGAGCTCCGTTCAGCGGGGAGATCCCATCTTTAATTCAAGGCTATCTTTATTCCTTCTGTGCTCATCCCTTCTTTCTCTCACATATCCTCTCCAACATTCTATTTTAAATCCTCCCAATCTTTCATTCAGGCCCGGGTACCTTTATTCTTGTTCTCACACGGTGACCAGCTTCCCCTTACCAATATATCTGTTAAAATCCTATCCAGTTTTCCAGTGCTCAGTTCAAAACCTAACTCTTTCATGAAGCCCATTACATTTTTTCACTTTCCTTAGACATTCTCATCCTTGACTCTTTAAAGTACTTACAATTAGTTTCATATAATTCAGCTCCTAAATAGATATTTTATGTATGTTAAATATTATATGTGTTTTTCTGTGATCACTGTTGTCACCAGTTTGATTACAATATACTACTGTATATTTTATTTTTCTTTCAGTATTATGTAAAATAATATCAGAATATTACTAGTTTTTATTCTTCCATTACCTCATTTAATTCCTTTATAGCCTTATGAAGTAGGCATTTGTATCCATGACACCAATAGGGGAATCTAAGGTTAGATTATATTGCAAAAACGTGGCAGTATGGAACCCTAAACAATATTCTGAATTGCAGTTTTCTACGCGCTGCCTGAGACCCAGTACTGTGTATTTTATATCATCTACAGTCTCTGCTTTCATTCATGGATTCAACAACTATTTACTGAGTGCCTACCATGTCAAGTGTTAGTCTAGGCACTGGAAATAAGTCAGTGTAAAAAGCAAAAGATAATTCCTGCTCTCAAGCGTTTATATTGTAAGAGAAAAGAGTTAAAAACAAAATAAGCAGGTCAAGTACAAGAGGACTTCACAAAGTTTGTGGAAATATGACATTAAGGTTTTATGAATTTATTTGTATTTCAGAAAATTACGTGCACAGTGTTTCCATAATAGACATTTTCTATGTAGTTTTTGAGGCCCCCTTGCATATGGCATGGTATTAGTTAATATAAGCTGTGGAGAAAATCAAACCTGGCTGGGAATAAAGAATGCGTTTGGGGGCTGTGTTGTAATTTCACTTGAAAAAAAATTTACTGGGGCCAGCAGATGACGTGGTGGTTAAGGATGCTGGATTCCCACATGGATGACCGTGGTTTGAGTCCTGGACCTGGCAGCTCGCTTTCTCACTTTCCTTCTCTTTCTCTCTCACTCTGTCCCTCTCTGGTCAAATAAAATTAAATAAATAAATAAACCTAAATAAAAAATAATTATAAAAAAATTATTTCTTGTGACCAGCAGATGGCATAATGGTTATGTCACTGGACTCCAACGTAGTTGACTGCGGTTAAAACTCACATCAGGTATATGTGCGTGCGTGCCCAAGATCCCAAAAGGAGAATAGAGGAGAAGGGATTGCAGTGTGGCCATCCCCCTTGGGTGGGTAATTTCTTGCTTTCTGTCCCTTTTTGTCTCTGTGATGAGTGCACACTCCCCATAACAAAAATTTCTCTCAAAAAAAAAATTTCATTTTATTCATGACAGAGTGCATGTGCACCTAAGAGAGAAACAGATAGACAGAAAGATCCTTGACAGGATCTCATCATAACCATGATCCCTCTTCCCCAGTCCTCCAGTTGGTGTTTTCAGGCGGAGCTGAGGATCCAAACCCACAGTCAGCCTTGTGGCTTCCAGCACCGAGTTTCAGCTTGTTACTGACTCTGCCACCAGGCTGGGTGAGCAGTGCGACATTAAGCCGAGTTGCCAGGGAGAGCTCACTGAGAATGTGGCATGTGAGCCCAAGCTTCTTGGAGGTGCAGGATAAGTCTGTGGCTCTCAAGGGGAAGAAGGTTTCCAGCAGAGGCACAGCGAGCACCAAGGTCTCGAAGGAGAAAAGTGCCTGACGTGTTGGAGGAAAAGCGAAGAAGGTGAAGACTAAGTGGAGAAGGTGGTAAAAGGTGAAAGCAGATGTATGAAAGGCCACAGGGAGATGCCTTGACCTGAGGGACACAGGAAGTCACCAGAAGGCTTTGGACAGAGAATTAAAATAGTCTGACTTTTTTTTTTTTCCCTCTTTAATTTTGCCAGAGGCACCTGCTTTTGCCATAGAGAGACAGAAAGAAGAAAGACGAGGAAGCACCCCTGGGGAGGAATGGCCATGCTGTAATCTCCTCTTCTCTGTCTCCTTTCGGGATTTTGAGCACACATGCACATGTAACTTGTGTATGTCTCAGGCCTCCGGGTCCCAGACTTGAACTGTGTAGCTGGCCATGTGGGATCCAGCCACACTGACCACTACACCACTGGCTGGCTCCTGATTTAATGTTCAAATGGTAGGTCATGCCATGCTGATGTTGAGACCAGGATGGAAAGAAGCCTTTTAGAAGCTATTTTGCAATAATTGTGATGAGAAATGATGGCATCTTGACCAGGGTGATAGCAGTGGAGGTGGTAAGAGATGGTTAGGTTCTGGACATAAAGCATTTTGAAGAAAGAACGAACGTTCTGTTTTTCTTTGTAGAGGTTTTTTCCTATAGGACGTGTGCGCTTGCCAGAAAGAGAGACAGAAAGCTAGAAATCACCCCCTGAGGGGATGGCCACACCACAGTCCCTTCTCCTCCATTGTCTTCTCGGGATCTTGGGCACGCACTCACATGCACCGAACGTGAGTTTAAGCCACCGGGTCCGGGACTCGAACTGCGGTTGACTACATGGGAATCCAGCGACATAGCCATTATGCTAACTGCTGGTCCCAAGAATGAACATTTTTGACTGAAGCATAGAAAGAGCAAGTTACTGTTGACTAAGGTGGGGAGGACCAGGATCTTGGTTTGGTTCAGATTTGAGATGCCAGTTGATGTTCAAGGGGTGATGGTGAGTAGGCAGTTAGGGAGATGATCATGGAGCTGAGAGAGTTCTGAGCTAGAGCTAGCTACACATTTGAGCCTTTATATGAAATCATGAGAATGGAACACCAAGGGAATGCCCTGGAGGAATAGCAAGCCCAGGAGAGAGCTCTGGAGTCTCAAGGGTAGGAGGTGAGGCCTATGGGGCAGAACCCGGCAAGGCTGCCAAGAAGTAATGGTCGGTGGATGAGGAGAAAGGTGAAAGGAGCCCATGGTCCTGGGAGCCATGCAGGCTGAATGTCTTAAAGAGAATCAGCTGCTCAGAGGCTGTAGGCAGACCGAATCTGAAGAGGACTAGGGACAGACCACTGGCTTGAGCAGTGTAGATGGGACCTCACCAGACCCACACCAGCTAATATGCAGTTCACCCTGTTTACTAAGTGGTAAGGATGGTGAGATTTTTGGAGTGAGAACATTATGTACATATTGACATAGGGCTATGTGCCCTCTATCATCAAGAGATTTAAAATTTAGTCAAGAACCCAGTTGCTTTGGTGCAGTGGTAACGCAAGTGCCCTGCAAGGCTGGGAGCTATATGGTCAGCTGTGGGTTCGACTCCCCAGGTCAGTTTGAAAACACTCTGAGCATGTGTGCCCAGGATCCTGAGGAGCTAGAGACTTGGGGAAAGGAAATTCAAGCGTGATGAGACGTTGCCAAGGGTGCTTTTCTTTCTGTCTCTGGTGTGTGTGCATGTGTGTCCACATCCTGTGCTCTGAGTTTTTTTTTTTTTTTTTTGGCTGTAGGGTGCATGTGCTTGCCAGAGACAGAGAGACAGAGAAGATGTGAGAAAGCACCTGCTACCACAGAAAGGATGGCTATGCTGCAATCTCTTCTCCTCTCTATACCTCTTGGGATTGTGGGCATGTATACACACGTGTCCAGTGTGATTTTTCAAGTCTCTTGGTCTGGAACTCGAAAAACACAGTTGGCCATGTGGGATCCAGCCACCCCAGCAACCATGCCACTGGCTGGTCCCATGTGCTATCATGAAAAAACAAACAAGCAAACAAAAACAACAATTGAATTGAGGAACCCAGATAAATACATTTAAAGATACAGCTTAAGGGTCGGCAGGTGGTGTGGTGGTTAAGGGCACTGGAGTCTCACATGGCCTCCCACGGTTTGAGTCCTGGACCTGGTGGGTTGCTTTCTCATTTTCTCTTCCTCTTGCTCTGTCCTCTCTGGTCAAATTACTGTGAAATAAATGAATAAATAAGGTTAAATAAAATAATTCTTTAAAAAAAATAAAGATACAACTTAATGATGCAGGTTGGATGTTTTCGGTGCCAAATGAATAGTATAGACAAAAGAATGCCTCAGGATTTGAGGACTGGGGAGTTTTGTTCGATGCTCATGTGGCTCTTGGCGGTTTCATTAGAGAAATGAAACCTTCAATGTGCAATTAAGCCTTCGGCAGAGAGGAAAAGGAAGGCAGGGAAGGGGTAAACTGGTAAAGTGGCCATTCATATGGCAGGTGAGTTAGGCAACGACTATGTGGTGAGGCCTTTATTTTCAAGGGGTTTCAAATTCAGTTTTCTTTCTTTTTATTAATTTTATTTGTTATTATTTATTAATTTGACCAGAGAGTGACAGAGAGAGAGAGAGAAAGGGAAAGCAAGCCACCAGGTCCAGGACTCAAACCATGGTCAACTCTGTGGGAGTCCAGCATCTTAACCACCATGCCATCTGCCAGCACCTCAAATTCAGTTTCTTAAATATCATTTTCTAGATGGATTGGGGCAGATGCATCATATAACATGACTAGAAAAAAATCCTGCCTCTGTGGTGCGTGCAGTGGTAATGCAGTTATCCTGCAAGGCTGGGGGCTGTAAGACTGACTGCGAGTTCAGATCTCCAGTCGACCTGAAAACATGCTTGGCTCTTGGGCTGGTGCTCAGAATCCTGAGAGGCTAGAGTCTTTTTTTTTTTTTGGAGAGGTTTTTACTATAGGGCGCATGCGCTCACCAGAAAGACAGAGACAGAGAGATAGAAAGTGAGAAATCACCCCCCAGGGGGGATGGCCACGCTGCAATCCCTTCTCCTCCATTCTCCTCTCGGGATTTTGGGCACGCACACGCGCCCGGCGTGAGTTTAAGCCACCGGGTCCGGGACTTGAACTGCGGTCGACTACATGGGAGTCCAGCGACATAGCCATTACGCTAACTGCTGGTCCTGAGAGGCTAGAGTCTTAGGGAAAGGTAGTCACAGTGTAATGAGACCGTATTCCTACCCTACCAGGTGTGTGTGCACATACTTTTCTAAGAAAAAATAAAATACCTAGAAAGACAGAATGGGTGAATGTTAATAAAACATGGTTACTTATATCAGGAAATGAAAAGCATATACAGAGACTCATTTGAAAATAGTTTTATATGACTGCTGGTGTGATATTCTAAAATAAGATTTCATTTTTTACTAAATAAGTTTTTTTTTTTCTGAAATTCCTAATAGCATTTAACATGGCATAGGCATCATTTTCAGAATTGTATCTACAAAGTTGATTAAGTATCGACAGTGACAAAATACCCTGTGGCTTTTTGGTTTGGGTTAACCTTCATTCTTTCCTTAGCGTTTTATTTTACTCAGAAAGGAGATAAATTGAAAAGAGGGCAAGAAACTTAAAACTGTACAGAAAATCATCTGAAAAATATAAAAACAATATTTGCGGCAAACTAAAATGTATGTGGAAGCTTCACACACATTAATCAGTGGCAGAAAGTGCTAAATTCAAAAACACACATGAAATGTTTCCTAGGATGGAAAATAAATGGTAATTCTACCCAATTGCTTTTATGGTTTTGTAAATTATAATGACTATGGCTGAAGAATTTTAATAAGTACTTAAAAAAAATTCTAACAGAGGGGGCCAGCAGTTGATGTGTCGATTAAGATAACTGGATCCCACATGGCTTGAAAATCACGCCTGGCATGTGTGTGCCCAGAGTCCCCAGAGGAGGATGGAGGAGGAGGCATTGCAATGTGATACCCCTCCGGGGGAGTGGGGAGTCGATTGTGGGGGTGATTACTTGTTTTCTCTCTCGGCTTCTCTCCAACAAGTATATGTACCCTATAGCATACTTAAAAAAAAAAAAAAGAAAAGAAAAATTCTATTAGAGCTTAAATTAAAATATTTTTTTTTTCTATAGGATGTATACGCTTAACAGAGAAAGACAGAGAGAAAAAGATGAAACATCATCCCCTAGGGGAGTGGCCATGTCGCAATTCCTTCTCCATTCTTTTCTTAGGATTTTGGGTATGTGCACACAGGTACCTGGCATGATTTTCAAGCCACTGAATCCAGGACTTGAATCGTACAGTAAGCCATGTGGGATCCGGTGCCTTAACTACCTGCTGGCCAGAGGTTAAATTTTTAATATTGAAATCTTGCTCTATTTTCTTTTATCCTGAATAGATTATTCTACAGTTTTATATTAAAATAAAGTAGTTACTCAGGAAAACATTATTAAAATTCAAGTTTTAGTAAATCATACTTGAAAACTGTACTGATTTTTTCTTTTTTTTGAGAGAGATTTTTGTCATAGGTCAGAGAGACAGAGAGACAAAAAGTGAGAAATCACCCCCCCTCCCCCTCAAGGAGATGGCCACACTGCAATCCCTTCTCCTCCATTCTCCTCTTAGGATTTTGGGCATGCACACACATGCCTGGTGTGAGTTTCAAACTGCAGTCAGCTATGTGGGAGTCCAGTGCCTTAACCACTATACCACTTTTTGGCCCCAACTGTACTGATTTTTATGACCACACCAGAGTCTAGCTATTTCTTTAAAATTTTGAAAAAAAAAAAAAAAACAGACATATATATTTATTTCTTTCTCTTATACATATGAATAGACAGAAATACATTAAAAGTTTGAAATTTTTTCATTAGCTTCCTGTTAGCTTTTAATTTGTGAGTATCACTGAGGTTTGTATTATTTTATGCTAATTAATTTGTTTTTCTGATTAAGAAATCATCATCATCTAGAAACGTGGTCTGTATCCCTCGTGTATGTTAGTAAAGCTGCTTCCCCTTGAAAATCAATACCCTTAGGGAGCTATAGTATATAAATTATGACTATCGTTTTATAATTTTAATAAGGTCTACTTATTTTATTCCACATAATTGAAGATTTTCTTTTGAATTTCACTTTTAGAGACTGTCATGCAGTTCCTTGAGAAACTATCTGACAAACTTTCGGAAAGGTTAGTTTTTATTCTACTTTATTTTTTAGTAATAATATGGTATTTTATTTTTCAAAAAAGACTTGACTTATGAAAACTAGTAGGTAACCTGTTACGAATGTAAGAGTTGAAATATTGGGTCAGATCTGTGGGCTCTTCAGCAGGTGATGGTCCCTGCAAGGTAGTTTGAAAAGATGTAGTCTTACTAAGGAAGCCCCTCTGAAAGCATGGGCTGTCCCTCTGATTAACCAGCTATCTTTAGGCACTCACCATTCTATGAGTAATTAGAATTTTTCTCCAAAGCCTTTTAAAAACTATTTATTTTAATTTATACTGTTAATTTTTAATTTAAAAATTTTGTTTAATACTTAGGTTATTATCATAGAGTCCATGTGCTTGACAGACAGAAAGAGAAGGAAAGTGAGATATCAGCCCCTCCAAGAGGGAATGGCCATGCCACAATCCCTTCATGTTCATTCTCTTCTTGGAATTTTGGGCATGCACACACATGTGCCTGGAGGGTTCCTCAAGCCACTGGGTTTGGGGCTCAAACTGAAGAGTCAGCCATGTGGGATCAGCTGCCCAAACTGCCATGCCATCTGCTAGCCCCTATTCTGTTAATTTTATAAAAAGTTCATAAAGTAGTATTTCTTTTTTTTTTTTTTTTCCTTAATACAAGAGGTTGATGAATGTGGTGAATTAATCTGTTTTAAATTTTTTTTTGAGTTTTTGCTATAGGGTGATGTGCTCATCTGAGAGAGGAAGAGAGAGAGAAGAGCATGAGAAAGCACCTGCCTCCAGTGGGGATAGCCATGCTGTAATCCCTTTTTCTCCATTCCCCTCTCAGAATTTTAGGCATTCACACACGTGCACCCACTATTTTTCAAGGTGCCAGGTCTAAGATTTGAACTGCAGACTTGGCTACCTGAAATCCAGGTGACTTAACCACCATGCCACTGGCTGGCCCTAATCTGTATTTTTGATTTTGTATTTTAAGGATGCTCTGCCTCCATGTTTATAATTTGGAGCAGAAGTTGTTCTCTTTGATGGCTCTCCTAGTTTCTTTGCCTATTGTTGCCATCCCTTGTCCCCCAATCCAGTCCATCTTCCAGGACTTGAATGAGGGGCAGCACACAACTATCTTTAAATGCCTCAGTTTCCAGAAAGAGGCATGTCATGGTTTGTAAGGTTTTCTCTTTTTTTCTTATAATGCTGTCTAAAATTTTGTTTATCTTTTTTACTACAACAGAATGTTCAATTTTAGCTTGGTTTTCCTGTTTCCTATTAGAAATGCATGCCTTAGATCCCATTCTGCTATAATTTAGATTGTGTTTATAAGTTCTAAAATTTTCTTTAAAAAAATCCCAGTGAACCATTGCGCCTGGATATAATGAAAAAGGAGTATTAATTATGCAGTTATTTGAGAGTTTATTTTACTTTGCCTTGTTGGTTAGCCGTTAGTATTCTTTCTCCACTTATATATAGGTATAGATAATATTTTAAGCAAGCATATCTTCATAATTTTACCGTTATATATAGGAGTTAATCCTACCAGACATATTGTATTCATCAAATATTAAATACCTACTTAATTATTGCCTGACTAGAATTTTTCTGTAGGGGAAAAATGATAAAACATAATAATAATAATTACGATATGTAGTAATATGTAATTTATGTTAATATTCTTTTATGGAAAGTAATGTGTTTAGTACTTTTACCTTTTCAAAGGTAAGAGCAAAAAGTAGTGATTTAAAGTTTGCTGACCGATGGTTTCCATGTTTCTGAAAGGACGATACTTTTTCCAAGCTTTTGTACTGTCAAGACAGATATCCTTCATGATGCTTCAGAATATATCAGTAATACTCAGATTTCTATAATGTTTCTTCTAACATGTATGTAAAATCTGGACTAATACTGATTTATGTTTGCCTAATTACATCTAATTTTATTATGAGGTTTAGATATAAAATAAACAAGATAGTTCTTTTATAATATAATTATTATAATTTTATCTCACAAGTAATGATAAACCTATTTTATAGAACTATAAAAGATTTTGAGATGATACGAAGGATGAAAATGAAACTAAATCCTCAAAATTCTGTAAGTATTTATGTTTGAATATTTTTATAATTTAAACAATCAACCTTTGATTCTAGAACTTTCTTTGCATATGCTGGAAGTCCATGTAGTCTTGTTTCTCATCCTTGGTTTCAGTGAAATAAACATATTGAAATATTTGATCCACATGTCCGAGTCTGACGTATTCTGGAAGTACCACATTTTTGCTGATTAGCTGACATATTTGTGTGTGTGTGTGTATATGTGTGTATTATTAATGCATATTAATACAGTGTACACATATCCTGCCAAAGCTGCTTCCATTCCGTGGAAAGCTGGCGCCTCAGTTTGAAGCAGCCTTTAAGGAGGCTCAGTATGACCTGATCTGGCAGGTTGCAATTTTAACCTTCGGTGTTAACTTTGCCATTTACTAATTTATGGTGCTCAGTTTAATAGATCAATATTTGACTGACAAAATGTATTTCATTCTGAAAACACTTGTAAAGTATTGTTTTCAGTCATAATATCGTATGATTATGTGCTCTCACACGTCTTCTCTGACAGTGTAGATTAAGTGTCCTTGTGGCCATGTTGTTCCTAAGTGATGGGTGCCTTGAAAAGTAATAGGATTCGGGAACCAGCAGTTAGCGTAATGGCTATGTTGCTGGACTCCCACATAGTCGACCGCGGTTCACGTCCCAGACCCGGTGGCTTAAAACTAACGCTGGTCGCGTGTGCGTGCGTGCCCAAGATCCCGAGAGGAGAATGGAGGAGAAGGGATTGCGGCGTGGCCATCCCCTCTGGGGGGTGATTTCTCGCTTTCAGTCTCTCTGTCTCTGTCTGGCGAGCACACGCGCCCTATAGCGAAAACCTCTCCAAAAAAAAAAAAAAAGAAAAGAAAAAAGAAAAGTAATAGGATTCCAGATATTCAAGCTCATTCCCATTTGGGTAGAGGGTGCTACAGGATGCTGGGATCTTCTGCATAATTCTTTTCAGGTTCTGTTTTTGATCATTCTTGATTTGGTAGTAGCTGCCAGAGCCATTGTCATAGGGAAAAAGCTAGGAGATTTAGAAACTATTTACCAGCGTCCCATACACAACCACTAACGAAAAGATTAATCCTATCAAATTCAAATGTAAAGAGCAGAATGTCAATCAGTTAATTTATGGAAGGAGCTGTGTTAAGCAAAGTAAATAGTATTAGATGTTTGTGCGCTTTTACCTGGTATATAGGACCACTTAGGAAACAGATCAGAATTTAGTGAATATAAAAACAGAAAAACCAAAATGTGTTGCCAAAAGCTAATATGACTTAAAAACCTAATACGACTTGAAACTAGCCTCCTTAGACACTTTTGTATAGCTTACTGATATGCTGTTCTTTTGGATGTTCTCATGAACTCCCTGGCTTGGTGAATGGTGCCACCATGCACCTTTCCGCCCTGTCAGACCTGCCTTTTCTGTAGACAAGTGGGTCTTAAAGTGTACTCTCGGACCGTAAGCAGTGTCTTCACCTGGGAACTTGATAGATATACAGATTCTTGAGCTGCACATCAAACCCACTGAATCCAAAACTCTGGTTGAGCTCCACAAAGGGTGTTTCATTAAACCCTCCAGTGACTCATTCCCCTCTCCCATAATCAGTTATTAAATCCTACAGATTCTAGCGTTTAGGGAACTGTGTGTCCTTTCCTCCCCAGGCCCGTTGCTGTAGCCTTGGTGGGGATCATTGTTCTCACTCAGCTTGTAGTTGGAGTTGTCTAACTGGTTGTCTAGCCTTTTGTTCTTGCTCTTCTCAAAATCATCCTAGGCTGTTGAGCAATGCGCAGGCAGAGAGTGGGTGCTCAGCACTTACTTCAGCTGTAAAGGAATGAATGAATGAATGGCCATCAGAGGGGCTTCTCTAAAAGCACATGTGATCTTGTCATTCTCTTGTTTAAAATTTTCTTTGGTAGCTGCCTATAATTCTCAGATTTAGCTTTCTATTCTTCTTATCCCAAGTCCTTTGTGCTTTGGCCTCTGCCTGCTTTCCAGCCTTCTCTCTGAGCTGAGTCATGTTCTTGGCTTGCTACTTATACCTGTATGATGCTCCTGTGCTTTTTCACTTACTTTTGCTTTGCTTTGTTTTATTTTAGATCCTAACTGGTATTTATATGCCAGCCACATAAATGTGGAATAGTCAGTAGCTTCCAGTTCTGCCCTTCCCCTTTCTTATCTCGATTAACTACTCCCCTCCGTAAAAACTGATCGAACTCAGGCTTTGCCTCCTCTGAAAGATTTCCTGACTTTCCACTGTGATTGAAATTCCTTCTCATGGTCCGTGTTCTATGTGGCACAAATTGACATGCTGTTTTCTGATTGCTGAGTCACTTGTCTTTCGACTGCCCAGATCATCAGATCCTTGATTAAGGGACCATGTCTTAATTGTTTTTGTGTCATTGGAACCTCCACTTTGTCTGGCATATAGAGATCATAAATAATCATTTGTTACAGAACTTGTGGGCTAAGAACTGAACATGGAGGGGTGGGGCTAAAGTTCTAGGCACATCTTCCCTGCCATTAAAGCTCTCATGAGAAGAAAGAAAATAAGCCCACTGGCATCTTGCACTGTCACACATCCTGTGATTGAAGTATAATCTTGGACTATGGGAAAGGACACCTTGCCATCTAAGAAGTTAATGCCCACGCTGAAATTTTCAAGGAGAATGGTAATAAGGAGAGCAGCCAACATTTATTGAGCTCTTACTTGATGCCAAGAGTTCTTAATAGTTTAAGTGCATTTGGTAATCCTGTTTGGGAGGTACTGTTAATTCATTCAGCAAATATTTGTTGAATGACTACTATGTACCAAGCACTGTTCAGGGTCCTGGGATATAACCAAGTACAATGCATACAAACTTGCTGTTCTCATGCAGTTCATAATGTGTATGAACTGGAACCTGGACCCAGATGGGCTGTCTTCACAGCCTGTTCTCTAATCGCTCTTTTAACACCTTGATATCTTTGTGAGAATGATCTATTCGAGTATTCAAGCTTTTCCTTCGTTCAATATTCTGTACCAGTCATCAAAAACAACTATTTCTATAATACTTCTTTGTGACATATTTTCTTTGCCAAGATTAGAGTTAATTCTGCCTTAGTTACATTTAAAATTGTTGCTTTCATTTTTGGGATCTACCCTAAGCTTCTTGCTTAGGTTTAGAAAGAACCCTAATCTTACCTTCAGTACTCTCTAATCTTACTTGTAGTATGTTTTGTGGATTAATGCATGGGTTACATTTTGGGGCAATTTCTTCATGGCTTATTTAATCCTGTTGGCTTTTGTTATTTACATTTTAGAATGACATTTGTTTACCTTTTCCACAAATTCTAGAGTTCTACCTTATTTATACCTCTCTTACCCATTGATTACAGGGAAGTCAAAATAAGAAGGCAGATATTTCTTACCAAGCCATGAATTTTTAGGGCTTTTATAAAATATTTATGGTTTACATGAACAAGAACTGGGTTATAGTCTATAAGATGGCCGATTTATAATAACAGGTTTGTATTTTATTATTTGGCTAAATTGTTGATAAAAATTATGAAACAGTCAATAGCTTTCATAACAGTGAATTATTCCATTGTAGGAATTAATGCCTTGGGACCCTCCCTACTACAGTGGTGTGATTCGTGCAGAGAGGTAAGCTTTCCAAGAAATATTCCTGTATGAGAAGGAAGAAACTAATATTTACTGAGCACTTGCATTTTAATTATTCAACTGCTGTCTTCTACTTAGTTACCTATACTATAAAGCTGTTTCTCCTCAAACTCATCTCCTCTGTTTGCATGGTTAACCCCTGCCCACATGCTTTTTAACCTGACTACAAAACTGTTTTCTTAGTTATAGAGTCACACCTTACGTTCACCCCACAGACCCATTCTTCAACTGCCTATGCTCTTTCCTTGTTCAAAGGTCTAGACTCTGACCCTTCTCCAGGCCTCTCTAGGTATAGCTTTCTGATTCTCTTACTAGACTGAGTGTTTTACGGTCTGAGATTTCACTAGAATCCTGTCGTGTCCTATTACTGGCACAGTGTAAGTGCTCAGTAAATGTTTTTTGAACCAATGAAGAAATAAATAATTGGCATGGTGCTATATGATTTTCTTATGTTTTCTCATTTTTGTTTGAACTTATAGTCAGCATATGATTGACATATCTGAAAGGATATATTATATAGGTTGGTACAAAAGTGATTGCATTTTTGGACCATGAATTTTATAATAACTCATTATAAATAGGCTCAAACACTTTTTTTTTTTTTTTAAGATTTTTGCTATAGGGCTCATGCAATCACTGGAAAGACAGAGAGACAGAAAGTGAGAAATGATTCCCCATGGGGGCTGGCCATGTCATAATCCCTTCTCCGCCATTCTCCTCTCAGGACTTTGGGCATGCCCACCCACGCACCTGGTGGGAGTTTTAAACCACTGGGTTGAGGACTTGCACTGCTGTCAACTACGTGGGAGTCCAGCTGTGTAACCATTATGCCATCTGTTGGTTCAGTCAAACACATCTTTATTAATCAAAATAGAAACCATTACAGTGAACACATTTTTGTATATTCGTTAGCATTTCCTGGGCCAAATGAGTTGATGTCGTGAATCGTCTCTGTTATTTATGAAAATTATTGAGTTTGCTTCTTTCCAACACCTAAAATGCATACAAAATAGACATCATTAGCCAAAAAACATAAAGCAAGAGGTGCACATTAAAATGATGTAATAACCTTTATTTAAGAATGCATCAATGTCAAACAGAAAATTTCAACACCATAGAACCACAGTTACTTTTGTACCAACCTAATAAGTGAAACAAAGATTTAGGAAACTGAAGTTGATTGAAATACTCCTTAGCCTTCTGTGTTCTCCTGTATTTATTTTATTGTGGCAAAGTAGTAGGTAAATCTTTTTCTCCTGAAATGTATCTTATTTCTATCATTTTTGCATTTATTTAAACCTCAGAAACTGAGGACAGTTAAAATTGAGCGTATTTTAAAATGTTTATGTCCTGGGTCAGCTGGTGGTTGGAGCTGCTGGATTGCTATGTAGTCCAAGTCCCAGACCTGGTGGCTTGAAGGGCACACTGGACAACTGTGTGTGTGTGCCAAAAATCTTGAAAGGAGGCAGTAAGCCAGCAGGTGGCGTAGTGGTTAAGGTGCTGGACTCCCAAATGCACCCGGTGTGTTTCAAGCTGCTGGGTCTGAGTTTCGCATTGTAGTTGACCATATGGGGGTCTAGCGCCTTAACCACTATGCATCCTGCTGACATTCTCTTCTTGGAATTTTGGGCATGCATGCACGCACGTGTGTCTGTCATGTTTTTCAAGCCACCGAGTCTGGGACTTGAACTGCGCAGCTGGTCATGTGAGATCTAGCTGCCTTAACCTCCACATCATCTATTGGCCCTTTTTTGAGATATGCTATTTAATTAAGAAAAGCGAGGTTGATTTAGGTAATAGAAGAAAATAATAAGGTTTCTTTGGTCCTTCTCCTCATTAAACCATGTTGGTATATATCATGATAATACATTGATTTGATTGATAGTAAGCTTTAAAATACTTTTATTGCTATGCATTATCAAAGCATCAAGTAAAAAGGTAGTGAGTACTTCTCCAAAATCAGACTTCATATGTTTATTTAATGATTTCTTTGACTCTTGTCATAAAACCAGAAAACAGTAACTTCATATGTTGTTTTCTGCACTTGGAGGATGAGGTACCCAAAGCTCACTTAGTACGTTGAAGAGTGTTCCCACTTAATTTTCATTTGTTTTCCCCTCTTTGACCTCCATCCATCACTAGTCTCCAAACCAGTCTCACTTAGAAAGCATAATTGTCTCTGCTTTTGGTAATTATATTTGATCAGTTCCTGTTTTTCTCAAACATGTATCCCAAATTTAGCATCAGTCTTCTTTTCAATGAAAACACAGAATCTATAATAATTTTGTCATTATAAACAGCGAGTACTTAAAATATAGCTTAATGTAAGATATTGTTTCACAAATGTGGTTTTTTTCCCCCTTTATCATAATAGAATTGCATGCATGCACACATGGGAGAGAGAGGAATGACCCACAGGGTCTGGTCATGCTGTGATCCACCTCCTTCAGTCCTTCAGCCTGCTGGGTCTGGGGCATTTATGTATGTGCCCAGTGTGTTTCAGACTGACCAGGTTTGGGAGTTGGACTGTGGTCTCCATGTGGGAACTGGCTTCATTTCAGCAGCTTATTACTGCTGCACCCTGGTGCCTGCCCCACAATATGCTTATGGTTGCAGAACTTCAGGCCCCACTCCCTATAGTTACATAAAAAATATAATTTCTCCCTTTTTTTTTTTTTAGTAGGTATAGCAAAGTGGGGAGTTTATTGAAGGAGAGGGAATGAAAATTTAATTTCTTTTTAAAATTTCTTCTGAAGAAAGATTTGGCCTGGTTGTTTAGCCTTTTGAAGATGTACCATAAAGGAATACTAAAATTTTTATTAATGCTTTTCATATTTACGTAAAGTATTTGATTTGATATTTGATATTCAAAATTAATATAAATTGAATGTAGTTATTTCTAATTTTTGCTGCTGTGATTTAAAAAAAAAAATTGTGTGTAGTTTGCCTTTTATATCATGTCCCTAACCCCAGTTCAAGTCTTCTTAAATTTAAGTCATTCATATATTTAAATTTTTTTTTTTTTTTTTTTTTCTTTTCTTTTCTTTTTTTTGGGAGAGGTTTTCACTATAGGGCGCGTGAGCTCGCTAGACAGACAGAGAGAGACATAGTGCCAGACAGTCCCTTCTCTTCCATTTTCCTCTTGAGATTTTTGGGCATGCATGCATACTTGCCTGGCAGATTCTTCAAGCCACTGGGTCCAGGACTCACAGTGCACAGCTGGCCATGTGGGATCTAGCCATTCTAACCACCGTACCACCTGGCTGGCCCTTAAGTGACATTTTTGTCATTGAACTGTACTCTGTAGGTATAGCATGCCCAGTGATGGTTCTGTGGAAATTTACATGTGATTTTTTTAAGTGTTGGAAAGATATAATGAATAGAGATTTAAGTGTATGTAAAAACTAGGGATCTGAGGTTCTTGAGAAGTTTGTGATCTTAAACAAAAACTGTTAGATAAAGGACCGTGACTCCTCCTTTTCCCTTTCCACTAAAAATAGTCACATGCCATATAACGATGTTTTGATTCAATGACAGACTGCATTTATAACAGCAGTTCCATAAGGAACATACAGACTACACCTTATAGCCTAGATGTGTAGTAGGCTTTGTTTTATAGGTTTGTGTAAGTGCCTTCTCTGATGTTTGAATGACAAAATCACCTGACAATTTATTTTTCAGAAAGTATACCTGTTGCTAAGCAACACATGACTGTACAGTATAGAAAAGTCTTTGTGGGGGCTGGCAGGTGGTGTGGTGGTTAAAGCCACTGAACTCCCACATGGCCGGCCATGGTTCGATTCCTGGACCTGGTGGCTTGTTTTCTCATTTTCCCTTTCTGTCTTTCCGCGGTCAAATTTAAAAATAATAATAAATAAAGTTAAATAAAATAATTCTTTTTATTTAACTGACTAGAATCAGAACTTAGAGATCCCTGGGCCTCCAAGTAGGTTGGAGTTTTTACGCTTCTGTAGTATAACATGGGGACTACTACTTAGGTCAGGGTTAAATTAATAATGTTTGTATTATTAATAGTCAGATAACATTATTATAAGGAATTGCCTATCTGTGGTCTTTCATCTAAGGGATGGTCCACTCTAAGAGATGTTTTATAAATGTGTGGTAAAATCTTTTGAAGGAGGGGCCAACTGTCTCTTAAAAACACTCATCCAAAATGTGTCAGAGTTGTAGAGCTCATCAGAAAATCCTTCGATGGTAGATAAAGAGGACTGAAAAGGGATACTGATTGGGACCAGCAGTTAGCGTAATGGCTATTCCACTGAACTCCCATGTAGTCGACTGTGGTTCGAGTCCTGGATTCGGTGGCTTAAACTCATGCTGAGTGCATGTGCGTGCGTGCCCAAGATCCTGAGAGGAGAATGGAGGAAAAGGTATTGCAGCGTGGCCATCTCCACGGGTGGTGATTTCTCGCTTTCTATCCGTCTCTCTGTCTTTTTGGCAAGTGCATACGCCCTGTAGCAAAAATCTCTCCAAAAAGAAAAGTAAGAAAAGGGATACTGATCTTGCCAGTGTTTCTCAGCGCCTGTGTTCAGGGCATAGGAACCCTGCATCTTGCTGCAGGACAGTGTGCTGCTGTTGGTCACTTCCCTCTTCAAGGACGGGGTTCGCTACCGCCTTTAAAATAAAATTGGAGCTACCCTCCAAGGCCTTGTAGGAGCCAATCACAGCCTCCTCTTTTTTAGCACTCAGTGAGTGCACATGCCCACATTTATTTGTTGGGTTTAGCCTGCCTTTTTGATTGTCCTCCTATGCTCGTCCTCCTATGCTCGTCCTCCACAGCATACCTCCGCCAGCCCTCATTCGGTTCAGAGGCAGAGCGGGTGTCTGTGGGGGAGCACATTCTCATCACCTTCCTTGACTGTCCTACATGCCTGAGAAATCTTGCCGAGAAGTCATGGGACCTCCAGGTCTGTGCCAGCCTCATGGCTCCATGTGTTCCCAGCCTGTGTGCTGCGCACTTG